TCTCTGAAACTCTGTAGAGAAGGAACCAAATCCCTCGAGAGAAGCAAAGTTTTTTTCTCCGATAAAATTTTAGGATTACAGGGTGATCAAGAATTACTGCAACAACGTCGTATTATGTTATGAGCCCCATTTCACCTTTTGCTTACCTGATTTAATGGTTTTTGTTTATTTTTCTTATTTTATGGTATGTTTACTAACTTTCAATACATTAGTATCGTTGTTTTCAGGAATGGTGAAAGCGTTTCCACATTGACAATCGATCCTTGAGCTCAAGACAATCGATCCTTGGGCAGCGTGTTCAGGCGAGCGAGATCTCAAAGCGCCTGAATCTCCCCAGAAGCCGCGTTTCTCGAACCATTCAACGTTATGCAACTCTGGGCACAGTTTCTGATCGATCCAGGGATCTGATCGCCCTGGAAGAGGTGCAAAACGAACAGCGGTTACTCCGGCTAATATCAAGAAAGTGCGCGATCGTCTAAGATTAAACCCTAACCAATCGGCTCGAGGAATGGCACAGAAAATGGGTCTGAAGAGAAGCTCCGTCAACACAATCATCAAGAAAGAGCTGAAAATGAAGCCGTACAAGAAGAATAAATCTCAAATACTATCAGCTGCTGTGAAGGGCAAGCGAAAAGACCGATGTGCCCAACTTTTGCAACGGTTCAACGAAATCAATCACCACAACATCCCGCTCACCGATGAAAAGATATTTACCGTCGAGGGAATTCTCAACAAGCAAAATGATCGAGTCTCAGCCGAACGTCACCGTATCGCGCAGTTCTCATCCTGCATCGGTGGTGATTTTTGCCGGGATAACCGCCAATGGAAAGACCCCATTGATCTTTGTTCTTCAAGGTGTGAACGTAAATGCGGTCAATTATTTGGACTTGCTAAAGAAGGAGGTTGTTCCGTGGGATCAACGCCACTTCAAAAATCAAATTTGGACTCATCAACAAGATGGGGCGCCGGCTCACAAGGCAAAGAAAGTGCAAGAGTTTTGTTCAAAGACCTTCCCGGACTTCGGACTGTCGTCGACATTCTGAGTGGCCACCCAGCTCACCCGATCTTAACCCATTGGATTACTCAGTTTGGAATGTTCTTGAAGCCAGAGCATGTGCAAAACTACATAAAAATATCGAAAGTTTGAAGAAGGCGCTGATCAGCTTTGATGAGCTTCGATGATGCCTATTTGCTCGATAACGCGTTTCCCAAACGTTTGCAGGCCGGTCTGAATGCCGATGGAGGCAAAATTTGAATTTAATTGTTAATTTGTTACTGTTATTTGTTGAATAAAGATATTTAAGTTAACTTTTCGAGATGCGTTGCATATTTGGTTAAAAGCTAAGCCTTTTGTGTGTTGCGGTAATTCTTGGTCACCCTGTAGAGTGAAGATAGATCATTTTCCTTGCACAAAAACCCTTTACTTTCCCCAACCTGCACGGACATCCCCTTTTGCTGAAAGACATATCCGTCCTTGAATCTGACGTCCATAGAAGCCACAAGTGAAGTTGGCTTGTACTCTCGTTGTGGTGTTTGCAGTCGACGCGTCTCCAGTGCCCGTTTGAAGCCAAACCCAACTCGGGACACAAGCACCAACATTTAACCAAGCTGACCAATAACCTGCAGAGTTCAATTTTGAAAGATTTTTTATTAAAAGCTCACTTTTCACTGTCTGAGAACAGCAATTAAATTATGTGATATCTGTTTAATTTTTGTATTGGGTTGATGCAAAAGTCCTTTCCGATTTTTTGGGAGAGTACCTTAAATTTGTCGAATTTAGACGTTTTATAGCTCATCCTAAAGCTGAATTCAAGACGGATCGATTGGTAAAAACCGTTTTGGTTGGTAAAAACCGATTGGTAAAAACCAAAAACGAGAAAAACGAAGGAAAATCGCGAAAAGCGGCGGAAAGGCTATTGATCTGAGGGTCGCTGGTTCGACTTCCACCGGTGACAATATTTTTAAAAATTTTTGCTAAGCTTCTGAAAATGCATGTCTAGGGGTTATTTTTGACGCTGATCACGAAACGCATGTTTTTAGCCTAGGGTTTCTGCACGGAAAACTAACGAAACGTGAAAACAGCCATTTTTGGCTCTGCCGCCCTTTACTAAAATAGCTGTAAAAGCTTTTAGAAAAGAGATATCTCAAAACGCTTTTACCAATCGATTTGTCTTGAATTCAGCTTTAGGATGAGCCATAAAACGTCAAAATTCGACAAATTTATGAGACGGAAAGGAAAAAAATCGGAAAGGACTTTTCCATCGACCTAATAGGACGAAAGTCCGGTTCAAGTCAGATTTTTGGCAGACTAATATTAGGTTGATGAATAGGGAATGGCAAAGAAAGATTTCCGGAGAGGGGATTGAACTCTGGATCTTCTGGATCTGGATTGCACTCTGGGTCTTCTGGATCTGGATTGAACTCTAGATCTTCTGGACAAAGAGAAAGGATCTGGACTGAACTCTGGATCTTCTTGACAGACAGATTTCTGAGCAAATTCTGAGCTTCTTGACAGACAGATTTCCGCCGCTTTTCGCGATTTTCCTTCGTTTTCCTTCGTTTTTCTCGTTTTTTTTGTTTTACCAATCGATCCGTCTTGAATTCAGCTTTAGGATGAGCTATAAAACGTCAAAATTCGACAAATTTAAGGTACTCTCCCAAAAATCGGAAAGGACTTTTCCATCAACCCAATAGAAAACGGGGTACGTTAGAAAGCAACTGTATATATTAAATCAAACTGACCCGAACTAGACGAACATGCACAATCGGAGACGATCGATTGAACTAAAAAGAAAATTTCTCAAACATTTCTCAAAAAAAGATGGCTTTTATTTCAAAAACACTAAACCGAACTTACCTAAAAACAGATGAAAGACGAGTAAAATGCTTATTGATGGGAATTTTCTCATTATCTAAGCAGCCAAGCCTCTCGCGGAGAGCCAAAAATTAAATACAAAACGATTTTCAGCGAAAATTCACAAGCTCTTATCATTTATGTGCAAAAAAGAATGACAATGACCTGAAAAAACCATCAAAATTTTAATACTTCCATAAAATGCCATAAAATTCCACGAAATTCCGAGTAATTTCAGATTAGGAACGTGAGAACGAAATGCGTTTCATGTGAAAAAGTTATTCTTTGTCGATGTTATCAGTTGAAGTTGTAACCAGTGATTTTTGGTGGTTACCGCTAAAAGAAAGATAGCTAACAAGTCATGTAACTTGTTTTATTCATTAACTTAGTCAATTTTATCTTTGGAGAACTCTACAACTGAATTTTACAAAAGAAAAAATCATTTTTACCATTGAAAAAAGAAAAACGGAACCGAATCTACTTAAAGAAGGTGTTTCTTTTCTACCAAATCTACTTAAAGAAGGTGATAGCTGATTCTTGGTCAAAACTCGTCTAATATATTGGGTTTGGGAGAATGAGTCGGCGCCAAACTTTAAAGGGACTTTTTGCACACATAAAGCCTTCTTTAAACATACGTTTGATTTCATCAAAAGGATCCATTATTTCTCTACAAAATGACTTTTGAGAGATTCCACAAAGCTTTTCTTTCGTGGAGTTTATGAACTTCCAAACGCAGCTGGTTAAAATGGCAAAGAGTCCGACTCATCATTTGAACAGTTTCTTTCACATAAACCTTCTTTGGTGTTTATATAAAAAAGATAGAGCACATTCAATTACTAAAGTTGCCAAATTTGCAGGAAGATCCCACCAATGGTTTTTTCTAGATCACAGTTTGTAGTTTTTGTGAAAAAATGGCTTTTTCTTGAGCGGAGGCGCTGTTTGAATTTTCTTTTAAATGTCATTTTGTAGAGAATTAGTTAACCATTCTACTGATATCAAACGCATATTACTTGACGAAGGCTGCTAGAAGTTTTAGACATTTTTTTGATTTTCGGCGCCGACTCATTCTCCCCAACCCAATAGCATATAGTAAAAAATTGTGTAGGAAGAAATTAGTTGTTGTGCAGAAAAGTAGCTTTTTTCTGTGAAACTTTATTTGATGCTTTGATTTTGAATCTCTAACTCTCTTGTTCTTCCTCAAAAGATCGTTTGTGTGATAAAAAGAGACGGAACCCACTTTGTATTCTTTTTCTTGGGCTTTGAAACTCTGAAACCAACGATTGATTCTATTTATTGATTAGTGATTGCGCTAGATTCGGAATCGAATATCTAAATAATCATTGTCCCATCGGTTCCCCTCTCACGCACTGCACAGTGGCCAAGATGCACTGCAGGGTACTATTACAGTATTTACGGTAGGTCTCTTTTCTCAACTCGATACCGAGTTGAAACAGTTCTCTAGTTAGAGAATTTCCATTTTATGTCTCAGTGAAAAGTCGTTCAGTCGTCTTTTTGTAGTGAAAAGCTTTAAAAAATAAAGTATCTTTGCAAATTTTGCTTTGATTTTTGGTTTGACCGCGTTCACGAACGTTCACGAACCTCCTACCAAAAAAGGGATGATCGAAAAGTTCACTTTGAGTGGGTGAGAGACTTTCATCAGTCTGCACGAACAAATAAACCCAAAAAAAGAAAGAAAAGAGGGGAAAGAAAAGAGGAGGAAAGAAAAAGACCAAAACTCTATATAAGAAAAGGAAAGTTACTTCTAGAAATACAAAGACTCTCAAAACCACAAAAGACCACAAAATGACCAAAACTTTCTATATTTTTCTGTTAATTTCGATTTTTGTCATTCCAAATGAAGCGCTTAGCTGTAAACTTGGAAGAGCCGGTTGTGTGGCCTCTTGTATAGCACAGGTTTGTGTTTTCGTGATTCGATGAATGTGAGTAAAAAGAAAAACGAAAATCAACGGTGTGCGATCAGTTGCTGTTTTTCTGCGATCAGTTTTTCTCATGCTTCGGGCAGGATTGCGCTTTATTCGTTTCTTAATGATTTTCCTGAGTCTCGTGTGATCAATTTTTGGTGGACGTCCACTTTTAGGAAACTCTTCGACTCTATTTTATTGCAAAATGCGGTATACCGTCATTCGATGCATTTTTAGCAGTTTGGCAATATCCGAAGTTGATCGTCCTTGTGCTCCAAGCTGAAGAATAGCGGCACGGTTGGGAGAAGCCTACGCCATTATGTCCAAACTTAAAAAAAATTAAAAAAACCATGGCTCTTGCTGGATGTGAGTTCCTGTCCACAAATCGGCCACTTTTATTTGCTTCTTGAGGGCTTTGAGCCAAAATTCGATCATTTTGAGAGTTGAAACCTTGCTCAATGTTGAATAATTTCTCGTCGGTGAAAAGCGTCGTCAGATGCTCATCATTTGCGGCCCTTGCAAGAAGAAGAGCACATTTTTGCTTCCTGTTTCTCATTTGAAGATCCGTCAGGCCATTAAGCTTCCTTAAATTGTAAGGGTGAAGACCCAGATCCTTTTTGACGATACGACGGATAGTTCTATCAGAAACATTCAATTGGGGAGCCATTTTTCTCATGCTTCGGGCAGGATTGCGCTTTATTCGTTTCTTAATGATTTTCCTGAGTCTCGTGTGATCAATTTTTGGTGGACGTCCACTTTTGGGAAACTCTTCGACTCTATTTTATTGCAAAATGCGGTATACCGTCATTCGATGCATTTTTAGCAGTTTGGCAATATCCGAAGTTGATCGTCCTTGTGCTCCAAGCTGAAGAATAGCGGCACGGTTGGGGAGAAGCCTTCGCCATTATGTCCAAACTTAAAAAATTTGCTTAAAAACTGCTACATAATATAAAAAAGCATTCAAATTAAGAAAAATAATCCTTTGGCAGAAAAATAATCCTTTGGCAAGAAATAAAAATCAATCAGTTTCTTAAATCAATGTTACAACCTTGTAACCATACTTATGCCGCACCCTGTATTAAAGAATCGGAAAATCCTTCTTAGAGGAATCTTTTTAATTAGAAAACAGCCAGTTGCTGAGACCCCTGCAAAAACCATGACTCCTGCTGGATTTGAGTTCCTGTCCACAAATCAGCCACTTTTATTTGCTTCTTGAGGGCTGTGAGTCTTTTTATGCCTTTTGCCTATCGTAGCAGTAGCTAAATTAGAATCGACAGATGTCAAATCGACGAATGTCATTAATGTCGCGAAGACTTGATTTTTTGGATTTTAACGATTGTTTTTTAATGTTAATAGTTACAAGTAACGATTTTTATCAAAGAAGTAGTTTGAAGAAGACTTTTATTTGAAATGAAGATCAATTACCTCTAAAAAGCAAAGAAAACTGAACCGCGGACTCGCACTGGCCTTGCCTTGCCTTGTAGGCCTTGTAGGCCTTGCCTTGCCTTGTAGGCCTTGCCCTGCCTTGTAGGCCTTGCCTTGCCTTGTAGGCCTTGCCTTGCCTTGTAGGCTTTGCCTTGCCTTGTAGGCCTTGCCTTGTATCTTAGCCCACTACCACTTGGCCACCACTGCCTTTGCCAGCTCTCTGGGAAATCAGCTTATAAACTTCAGGGATGATTTTTGAAATCCTATACAAAACTTTGAATGTTTATAACTTTTGACAGCGTGCTCCATAGCAAAAACGGGAAGCAGACTCGGAATCAGCGTAAAATTCTGCGTCGAATTGTCTATGGCTTGTGTCATTTGGCCTCTTGTCTTTGGCCACCACACTCTGGAATTCTTGTGTGAGATGATTTAATTTGATTTCAGAATTGTGCCACAGGAAACTGTGATAAAGCTGATGTTTGTCGATGCTCTCGTTGTGGAAATGGATCAAATCATGGAGTGAACATTGGCATCGGAAAAGGGAAAAGGAAATAAGAATAAATTGAGTGATAAATAAGTTTATTTGATTTTGTTTTTGATTGCGCATATCACGAATATCAACATAGATGCTGAAGAGTCGAAAAATTTCAAGATTTTCCTATGGCTATGTGAGAAAAAGGTTTATTAGTACTCGAAAACAAAAACATTTTTCATTTCTTGAGTGGTTAGCTGGTTTTTGGTTCTTTGGCCTTTGCGGTTAATACTGTAATAGTACCCCACCCCATAATGATGGTGCGGAGCGTTGCGTAGTCTAACTTTGGACGCGTTTTTCTCGACACCGGTTTAGGCTACAATGCGCGCTTAGGTATCAAAAAATAGCTGAAATTCAGGGCTATTTTTTGATACCAAAGACGCATTTTTTGAAAGGGCGAGTTTTTGGCCAACTTGCAGCTCATTTTTAGGCGCCTTAAACTTGTCAGATCAGGAAGTTTTAATAAGATTTAGATAGCTTAAAACGTTAACTCTTAGAAACTATTTGTTTCATCAAAATTTCTTAAGAAAAATCTATCTAAAATCGGGCTGCAAGATGGTCAAAAACTCTCCAAAAACTCCCCGAAAAACTCCCCCGATAATTGCTCGACTTCCACCCCCGTCCCTCCGATAACCGTAAAGATCCTTGTTCTTTTTAAAATCAAAGTGCTTTTACTAGTTTTAAATTATTTGTGTTTTGTAAAACAATTCTATGTAAACAATTCCATGTAAACAATTCTTCTAAAAATTCTATCGTAGCTTTTTTTCGTTCCCATAAACATGAAACTATTAGGTTGTCCGGAATGAAAATACCCTTTTAATGAAAAATAAATTTATCTCCACAAAAAGAAAACCATGCGCTTTAATCCAAAAGATATTCTCTGTTGCTGGCAATCGTCTTTCATTAAATAGTCTTTCTCCATTTTTCTTTCAAATCTCGGATCCCTTTACTGAAAAAATCTTGAGGCTGCGAGTCGAAGTATTGGCCTACCCAAATTCGGACTTCGTCGTGACCCTTGAAGTGTTTATCGGCCAGGAAGTGCTGCATAGATCAAAATAAGTGGTAGTCTGAGAGTGCCAGATCTGGACTATACGGCGGATCCGGGAGACATTCCCAACCCAATTCCTCGAGTTTTTCCGGCGTCTTCTTTGCTGTGTGCGCATTATCTTGCAGATA